AAATATTGGTGACATTATGTGCAAAATTGTAAAAAAAAAATGTTGGCGCTCCCCTAAAAATGGCGCTCTAGGCGACCGCCTGAGTCACCTTACCCTCACGCCGGTCCTAAATCCGGAACCCAACTAGTACACTACCTGCGATTAGTCCTTATTACTCGAGATCGAACTCGGTGGGTGTGGGTGAGTTGCGGCCTGGCGTGTCGTTTCCGGTGTTAGAGACCGGTGAATTCCGGCCCGATAATATTTTAGCCGTAGGTTAGGTGCGGCCCAACAATATTTTAGCTATAGGTGAGTTGCGGCCCGAATAATTATCATAACCCTATGTACCTATTGGCCAGTAACTACATGTACGATGCGGTGATGGCTATACATTTAGTGATAAACGAATAACGATAAACGAATTGTTCGATACGTATGGCAAGTTATATCTTTATATAATATAATACAGATAATACAGATTGTTTCATTGTATTATCTGCCATATGACTTGCATTAACTACGATAATCGGATATTTTCAAATGACAAAATGAAAATGTGATGGTCTCGGTACCGTATTCGCAAAGGGCGAATGTCCTTGTTCATCTTCCACTGTATGGTTTTGTCATTAAAATTTATGCGAGCATCATATTGGTTCAGAATGTCGGCTTCTAAAATGCCTTTTTCATTTAGGTTTTCGATTTGTATAAATCCCGCATATATTGTCTCCTCTCCTACCTGTCACTCACATAATATTTGTTTTGATACCTTGCATATCGGTTTACCCACTGCATTACTGATACGGACTCCACTTACTGATAATATTGGTACTTTAGGATTTCGTTTGATAATTAAGTCAACAATTTCTTTGGTTAGTACACTCACAGTTGCTCCAGTGTCCACTAGTAATTGCACTTCCTCGCCATCTATCTTGCACGATATGTATGGGCTTACTGACTGACTATTTGTAGGTATATTATTTACTGCATGATTAACACTTTCTGCGGTTTCATCTTTCGCTTCCTCGACTTCCGTATTTTCTGTCTTACCGATAGTCACTTGATTGATTTGCTGATTTCCTCGCCAGTTATTCTCACGACGTGTTTGTCTTTCTGCATCCCGATGAGATTGGTTGGACCAGCCCCATTTGTCGGTCTGTTTCCCCAATTGTTCTCTCGTGGCTGCCGGTTGTTTCCGTGACTCTCACGCTGTGGTCGTTGTTCTTCTTCGCGATGGGTTCGATAATTATTTTCTCTATACGGCCGGCTCTCTGTCTGTCCGTTTTCTCTTTGTGTTGGTCGCCTATGTTCCTCCGTGGCCAATATTTTCATGGCATTTAAAATTGTGCAATTGGGTTGCGATACCAATATTGCTTTAAGATATCCAGGATAGTTATCAGCGATATGATCAGCGATACTCTTTACAACTTCTGTCTCTGATAATTTTGGAACTTCCAAATGGCGAAGTTTCGTCACCCAATACGAAAAATGCTCTCTACTCGTATAGCTATTGTCAGCGGGAATTTGTTTGGTGCTTAGGCATTGACTCCATGTCTGCATCTGTATCTCATGCGACCAGTATTCCTAATATACCTAAACCTTTGATAGTTATCTATCTGAAATCTGATTGTCGAAAACCAATTATTCGCTGTGGCTTTCAAACAGTCTCCCGCAATAATTAATTTTTCTTCTGCATTAAATATCTGTTTTAATATGAAGTATTCGTCCAGTCTGTTCAGGAAGTCTAATGGATGTGTGTCTCATCGGTTTCCAAAAAATAATGGTTTCGTTATTTCCGTGGTCGGTCCACGGTAACTATCATTTTTCCTATGCTCCATATTTTGTTGATTGGTATCGTCCATACTTCGGAACGTGTTCATATACCTATTCTCCATTTCTTCAATTTTCGTTTGATATTTATCTTCCCATTTATTTTCTAATTCCTGTATGTCTTTCTTATGTTTTTTCTCTGTTGCTCTTAATTTTTCTTCCTGTTCCTCCCTCAGATTTTAAACTTCTTTTTTATACTTTTCGTCAAATCTGTTTAGTTTTTTTCTTTACGATTTCTTCTATTTGCTCCATTATATCTTCTTCGTAACTTGTCTTCTTTTTTGGACCCATTTTTTTTTTTTTTTTTTTAAATGTAGTTTTCTCAGTCGGTAGATAACGATTTCTTAATCTCTGTGTCGTGTAGATTCGAGCCCCACGTTGGGCGCCAATGTAAAGAACTCAACGCTGTATGCTTTTTTGTTGAAATTCCTTAGCTAGTTTTATTATACATCAAATAAACAAATAGTTTACAAGAAAAAATGTATTGCACATAAAAAAAAAAAAAAAATACATATATTTATAATTTTATATCAGATAATTAGATCTAGAAATATATACCAACATACTGGTCAGTTCTAATATTCACGAGATGGTGTGTGCGATTGTCCCGTGATACACGACTGGTATATGACTGATTGCGGTATGTTGTTAATGTATTGCTGTCGTTCGGCGCGGACGGCTAAATAGTGATCGGCGTAGACGGCAAATAAGAGTACGTACGGTGGATGGTCGGCGGACGAATTGTGGTCGGTAGACGAATGTGGTCGACGGTCGGCGTGGTATACTGCACTCGTTATTCCACGTTATACACTAACATCTACTAAACTCCAAAATATGGTGCCAGAAGCGGATGTTAGTTCATAGTGTTTTCACGGGTGAAAGAAGTGACCAATGAGTTGCATCCGTAGTAGTTCGAAGATGATGATGAACGATGTACAGCGGCGCTCTTTCTGTATGTTCGTGTTATCCGTACCGATGCAGCACCGCTGTTCATTGAGCACGCTTTTACTTATTTATCTGGTTTACCTTATGATTTCGTGTACAATGGTTGGTGTGTGATGTTATTTGATTTGAACGTTAAGTCTAAGGGACTTAACGATTGACGGATACGTTTTTGAGACGTCCGTAAACTTGGTGTTCGGTGGCTGTTGTGATGGCTTGGTCCGATTGCGTCATCTTTCGGTGATTCGGATAACGTTGTGTGCAGCGTTGGTCCGTGTTGACCTTTGTACGGCGATCGCCTTAGTCCAGTGGTGCCCAACCCGCGGCTGTGGCCCCCAAAGGTATTCTATGTGGCCCGTTACGAATTTTCTAAAATAAAAAATTTTTTTTAAAAATGTAAGAACATTTTTTGATTCATAATGTCGTTTGATATTAAATTCTTTAAAAACTGAAACATTTACACGACACACAAGACAAACGGCTTTCCATTAATTTCAATGAAAAAGTAATTTATAGACCATTGAAAATTCGGCAATCATCAATATATTTGCGTTTTTTTCTGTCTGACATTTTCATATGTAAACTTTACAATTAAATATCGATATCATCCGTGTACTTAAAATAACGTACTAATCAAACTAATGTGTACCTTAATTCATAATCTTTTGAATAGATAATAAAAGATAAGAAAACAAGTCCAATATATAAGATTATTTTTGTACTTTTATACTTAGTGGCCCGCTTGAAGATAATTGTTTACCAAAGTGACCCGCTAAAGGAAAAAGGTTGAACATCACTGCCTTAGTCGGTGGGCGTCGTTGAGACTGGTGTCAGTTATTATTATTATTATTATAATAATTACCTAGATGTCGGTAATGGTGTGACCTTTACAAAAATTAGTATACTTTATTATTCATTTACAAATATTTTTTTTTAATTATATTCTTGAAATTACAAATATTAATAATATACGACAATACTAGAAAATACATAGTATTAATAAATTTATATTGTGATGTTTATATACATTATTGTATGGGCTGCAACCTCGTACGTACCTCTTATAAACTTGGGCCGCAACTCGTACGTACCTCTCATAACCCTGAGTCGCAACTCGTACGTTATTTAGGGTTTGGGCCGCAACTCACCAACACCGAACACTTGGATACTCCGGTAAAGCTACATGGGACTAAAAATATTAGCTGTAAACAAAGAATAGTGGAGAGCACGTATCCGATTGTGAAATCAACTATAGAGTTGAATACAAGAAAAGAAGATATATATGTATTAAAAAAAATTAAATCTTTTTATGGTGAGGCGGGGAGGGCATGGCAGCATAAAATAGTATGAAAGGGAGCATTTATTTCAAAAAGTTGAGAACTCTTGGTATAATATATGGATGATCAAAAAAATCTCATTTACAACAGTCAAAAATTTTTTTTTTTGAATGATTTATATTAATATTATAACTAATAAATATCAAATAGTTCTTCGTGTTCAAGAAAGTATTTGAATCAATATAAGGAAAAAAAGGAATTAAAATATTGTTTATTCTAATAATCTCATATTTTGATAATCGTGACAAATACGATTGTATACATACTTACAATATTTATAGTTAATTTTCTATATCAGATTATTAAAAACTTTTCTAACGTTATTTTGATCTTATTTGCATATCCGTATACTATTATTAATTGTATGATGTTTACATTTATATATGTATTAGTATATGTATTAGTTACTAATACATATACTAATACACATCTACTAATCACATCTACTAATAATTAGTAGATCGGGACCTTATAATTTTAAGCAGAACTTACTAATGCATTTTTATACGATTCTAATTGTTTCGGTAACATAAAATACTGATCAATACATAAGTATTCTAATGAACATCGACGAGGAGGGGCTAAGAGTACAATACCTTACATTTAGGGTAATATGGTAAATAACATTTATCTATATGAATATTTAGTTTGTCCTCTAGAGAATTTACTTGTGGGCCCCTTTGGTTTCTTGATCATTCTATAAATATTTAGGTATATCGTAACTTGTTTTTTTTCTTCGTTGCACAATACATATATGCTCACTCCAACTTAATATACGTATTTACGTATTACATATAGGTAAATTATTAATATAGTATGGTACACATAATTTCATTATAATACTCCTATATGTTGATGATATATTATTATAAAGATATATAACACTTGATTTTACAATTGTTTAATTAATGTCGATTATTGCTGTAATTGATTGTTCTTGACGTCTTGGCGCTTGTTTGAACCACTGCTAAAATTTGATAAAACAGAACCAGATTTGTCAGCTTGAGATCGATTTGAACTGCAAAACCAAACAAGCTTATTTGATTTCAATAACGTGTAATTATTAAAATATTACGGTATTAATAGTGTTTACTATATAGAAAAAAACAGTGATTGTTAGTGACAACAATACATTGGTTTTATACATTATACATATATTACATCACCTATTGTACAATATGAAAAATTGGCAATTGGTAAAATGCATTTAAAAAGATAAATTTATCTTCAATAAAATTTCAATAAATACATATATCTTTCATGAATGTATTTTACCCACTACCATATTTAACAATTAATAATATGCATTGTTTGTGAGTAATAAAACCAATGACAAAATGAATACTCGAATTTGACTTACGGAGAATGAGATTTATAATTAAGAATAATAAAAAAAACTATATTTATTTGATATTTTCGATTTTAAGTGAAACGAATTTATTTTTATAAATCAAAGACTGAAACATATTTAAAAAGAGATCGCTGTGGAGATAAAATATAGATAACTATATTGTATTTACTAACATTTTTTAATTACTCTACTTTTCACGTCATATATTTTTAATTTGCCTCTTCATCATAGAGAGTGGTTTTTATAATTTATTCATTGAGTTTTATGACAATTAATATTTTATTTCTTATCAACAGTGTTGGCCTGGTTCTAAAGGGCCCAGGTAGGATTTTATTTGGAAGGGCCCCAGCTGCCATACTACAAATTTTTTTTTTATTATAATTAAATTAAATAAATTTTAATCGACGTTTTTCTGCACCATTTTTTAATTTCGGCTTCATTTAATACTTTATAGTATCTACACTTAATTTTAAAAATATTTAATACAAATTAAATTTGTAAAACACTAGACAAAATGCTAGGTATTGCTTTAATTAATAATTATTAGTCACTGACTACTATTGACTATGGTTTATCGTCTATGACAAATATTATATTACCACAAACTGCATATGTGATAAAACGATAAAATCAATATCCAACATATTTATGGGTAATCTAAAAATAAATCTTATATCGGTCGGTTGATCGTGAACATCAGGACTTCCCATGTTTTATTTTTTATCATTATTATTAATATGGATAATTAATATTATACTTTATACAATTTACTCAATAATTCCACTTTTACTTATTTACTAGTATAATATTACTTAGCTCGCGCCACAATTCACAACTGCATATGAATATATATATATAGTGCTCGACTTGAGGGGGGAGGGACGCAGGGGGACGGAGTACTCCAAGTAATTTTTAGAAATTTTAGCGTCCCCTTACTATTATAACGCTCAGCCAGTTTTGGGGACGTTCTTTTTTTTAAAGTAAATAGAGTCCCCCTTCTTTAATTTTGCCAAGTCGAACACTGTATATATATATTTATATAAAAAGACGAGGGCCCAGGCAGCGATTGCTGCCTAGCTGCCTTGACCAGGCCAACAATACTTATCAAATACAATCGTTTTGATATCGTCCACAAATATAATTAGTTTCAATATTATTTTTATTAATATGATTGAATTTTGGGACAATAATCGAGAAATACAATTACAAATAGACTTGTAAAAAGCTAAGCGTTTTAACATTTAGTAGTGCACACTTGATTTGCAAAAAATCTCTCCTATAATATCAAAAAAAAAAAATTATAATTACCCTTGCGATATTTCCGTGAAAAGAAACGTAGAATATTTTTTTTATAAAAACCACACGTATTGTATACCATTTATACTGTAAACCTATCTAAGTTTATTTAAACGTTTTTCAGTATGTTACTATTCTCGTGCTTATTAAATATCGATTGTATTAACGATTTTCTCTATCTTACTGGTGACTATATGATCGGTTTTTCAGTAAATCTGGTTCCGGTTTTACGGGTCGGTGACTAAATGGTTTGGCAACTGTTCGCTTGAAATGTTTAGCTTGGTCCACATCGATTGTAGGCATTTTATTCACGTACAACTTCACCACCTATTTATATATATATGGTATATACATTTTTTTTTACAAAACATTAAACCAAGTTGTTTTTACTCTAAAAGTTCTGAAAAATAGTATCATAGCGTTGTTTTGACATTTTAGAGAAAATCGATAGTTTTATTTATGTTTACGATTGAAGCTATATTTAAAACTGGTATATTGATATACGTATTCATATTGAGTCAAAATTCATTTTTGTGAATAAATAATTGTAATTTATGTTCTGATTTTATTTTAACCTATAATGATATCAACGATATTCTTTTTTTATAGTTAAAAACCGGGGTTTTATAAGTATAAATTAGCAAATTAGTATTATTGTAAGTTATGTGATCTTTATTCTATGAAGTATAACTAAGATAAATAAAAAGTATGCTTGGCACGAACGACGTAGAGTGGTTTTACTTTTGTGTTGTTATGGTGCGAAAGTTATACATGCTTAGGGTGTAATCCAAATATTTATCATTATCCTAATATCTTCTATCCTTACGAGTATATTTCCAAGAATATGTTTATAAAATAGCTTTTAAAGTAATAATTTTTTTTTTTTTTTAGAATTTTAGAGTATGCCGAGTGAAATTTTATATTTATTTATATATATATATATATATACATTTATACATTTCTTATAGTTAAAGTATTCAAGTATAGATATTCATTTAAAAAAATATCACGATAATTTATCAAATAATATTTACATAAAATATTTTTATTTTTATTCAAAATGGGATTTTATTGTTCTACTTTGTTCTACTCCAATTTAAATTCTAATTAATTTTAAATAAGTAATTTAGTTTTAATTTTTATCAACATTTATGAAAAATCATAAATCTAACTTTTAAATGAATACCAAAAAAAAAAGAAAATGATTTATAGATTAAATCCATCTAGGAAAATAATGTTTTCATTCTACTCGTATTATGATAGTTTATTTATTATAATAATTAAAGTGTGTTTCTTCATAATTTTTAGATTGTTTAAAATAGAATTTTGAATTATTTATAATTTTATGTGATAAACTGACTTTTTTTAAATCGGGCGTCGTACTGTTCATAATGACGGCATATATTTGATGTACGTTCTTTTTTAACCATTCAAACAACACTTTAAACGAAATTATATCGTTAATAGGCATTACTATGCCGAATGGTGGCACTACGTAGAATAGACGATTTGGTCTGTTTTGCAGTACTTTAGTGCTGGACAAGTGTTTAGTTAACGCTTCAGGAAGGTCAAGGTCTGGACATATTTGCTGTTCACAGTGTACATGAACTAAGTCCATGTCGGCAAAGTACTCAAGAACGGTTAGTTTCAACATATTGGATTTCCAACGAGCTTCAACATAGAATTGCAATTTGAATAATTTTAGAATATAGATTCAAACAATCACAACAAGAGGTAAGTCGGCTATGTATCCATGTAAACAGTTGATACGATGTGTTTCAGCTTAATATTAAAATTAGTTTATGAATTTTGGTTTTCAAAATTACTATTTTGCATTTATTGCACTGAAACGAACCACTTTAAATTATTCAATATTTATGTATAGTATAATATATGAGCTTATACTATTACTTACGCACATAGTATGTATATATTTATACATAATATAGGCAGACAGGTAACAGATGTAGAATTTAATTAATGTCAATGATATTTATCAAATGGTATGTAGCACACACACTAACATCCTATGTAGATATTTATAATAATAATGACTAAGCATATACCATTTCTGTTTATACGTTTAGACGAAGTAATTGATTACTATTCTAAATTTATAATTTTAACAAAAAGTTGTAGTTAATATTTTAAATAATTTAAATTTTAACTTATTAAATCTTGATGGAATCAGTCAAAAGGAAACAAGAAATAATAGGTAAATACTATATACACGTTTTATATGTTGTATCACTTTGTTGCACATCTTATTTCGCATAACTATTCATTGTGGTTTATTTGTGCTGCGAGTTTATTGAGTCTTGGATTAAACGACGACGTTTATATTAAGGGGATCGATGGCGTACAGTTATTTTAGCCAAAACATCTTATTTTTATTCCATCATACTGCTCGATGTACTAAGGCGATAATACTTTTTAAAACTGATTTGAATTTTTTATTATGTCTACTTGAGATCGGTCAGTCTATTTTACCCAATTTCACCCTCCTAATTACTAAAAATTTTGTTTGAATATATTGAAATTTCCTTATCTTTAAACGCTGATTATTCGGAATATAAATCAGAAATCATAAAATGTGATCTGACCGATCTCAAGTAGACATTATAACGAATTCAGATTAGTTTTCAAAAATGTTATCGCATTATTGGATCGATCGGTAGGATGGACCAAAAATATATAGTTTTAGTAAAAAAAAAACACGCGTTTTGGATCGTTCATGCGCGCGACAGTGTGTCAGTGACATGTACGTGCGTGCCGCGTGCGGAAGAGTTCCTCCGCCACTACCGGTCCTTCACCTATATCGCATGCAACGGTTTTCGATAGATAGATTATAAATCGTAATTATACTATTCTAGGTATTACTACGGTACAATTATAAAATGTATAATGAAATATCTTGCGTATATTGATAATTTGATATGAATGAAATATAATAGGTATCTATAATAATATAACATGAATACATGAAATATTGTTCAGTTGAGCTTGGCCTCACATTATCACTACGCTTGGACTTTGTATATGTATTTTTTCGCTAGTGTAAAATAGTAAGATTTTTACGTACTTTTTAGTCACTTATATTTTGTTTTTATAAAACGTAATTTGTTTCATTTATAATAATTTGGGAAAATAGGATATAAAAAACAAAAACTATCCAAAGTAAAAAAAAATAGAGGAAATGTTTTATCACTTTTAAATTGGCAAACTCATCGCATATAAAAAACAGTAAGTGAATATATTTACTTAAATGTTTGTTTCATTACCAATTTCATTTTTTATTTTCGTTTAAATTATTTCGTAGATTAACACCGATAGTTTGACTATTCCAATTGAAGATCAAAATAACGAGTATGTAGAACAAATTACTATTGAATTGTTCGTAATATATTTTATTTTTTTTTGTACATTTATACGTTTTGGGCTACTGATACAATTTTTTTTTCGTTATTTAGAATAAATACCGATGATGTAGAAATGGGTTGTAATATATTATCTCCGTCGACATCAAATACTAATCACAATATACTTGATTCGAAGTATAAATTGCTTGTGACAAATACAAACGAAAATAAACAAGTACAGTAAGTAAATAATCTTTATACCGAAGATAAAAATTTATTTTTTTCATAATACTAGGTCTAGGTGTACCCCGTGCAATATTGTATGTTAGACAAATTATTTTAATTAGATATTAAAAAATTAGGATAAAAAAAATCCAATAAAAAAAATTGTTTTGTAGTTAGAAATTTATTTTATAACATAAGATATTCACTAGTAAATTAGGTAAAGATTTCATATTTTTTTTACATTTATAAAAATTTTGTTTTTGTTTTGTTTTTGTCAGGTACAATTGTGAAGGTCGAAGATTTGTGGACATTAAACACTTCTTCAATTCTTTAAAAAATATTAAATACGATCCTTTTAGTTGTACATTTCAAAATTTAAATTTAATAAATGAAAGAAAAAATGGTTTTTTTTCGGAATTTATATTCAAATGTGATCTATGCAATAAAATTGATATTATATCTAAAGAGCGTAAGACAACTGACATTTCGTTATCTATTAACACCGCTATTGTAATGACAACCATAAACTCAGGACAAGGGTTTGCTCAATTAGATACCATGGCAGCTTTTTTAAATATGCCATGTATGTCAAACATGACTTACCAAAAACTTCACTTAGATATATCAAATCACACCAATGATACGGTTATAGAAGTAATGATACTAGCGGGAAATGAGGAAGCTGAAATTGCTAAAAAGAAGGTAATGTAAATAAAAATTGAGTACCACTTATAACTGTGATTGCGGACTGTGCTTGGTTGAAAAGATCATACAAAAGTGGTTATAACGCACTGTCTGGTGTAGTAAGTATTTTATATTATATATTTATAGATTATTTAATATTTTCGTTATCACTATTGTTGGATACAAGTCTAATTCAAATTGCGCGCGGTCATGTCGCAGTTGGTAATGTGCTGCAACGTTGTCGCGTCGGAGCGTCCAATCTGGACCCCCGCTATCGCCGCGGCCAAGTTGCCCGTCGCCGGTGCCCCGCCGCCGGCGTGCTTTTCGTCGTTCTTCCACCGTCTACGGAACAGGTTCGCGATCCGGTGTCCGGTTGCCGTTAGTCCGCCATTTTTTTTATATACGTTTGCCTTTATTTTTGTTCATTCGAACTAATCGCCGTTCCGCGCCGTGCCGCGTCTGCGAACGTTTTTGTTTTTGGCTCGTTAGCCACCCGGCGTAGTGTTTTTTTTTGTTCGTCGGTAACTAGCCGTCTTGGTTACTCACCCGAGTCCCTGTGCTCACTAGAGCTCTGCACGGTCCGTAATTTCTTGGACCGGACCGGACCGATGGAGAATATTTAAGACCGAGACTGGACCGAACCAATATGTATGGCAATGCAACTGGACCAGACTAAACCGATATATTTTTAATTTTTTAAAAAAGACCAAAATGGACCGATGAAAAAAAAGATTTCTCAGTAGAAGACCGGAGACTAGACTTAATTTAAATTTTTAATTTAAGACTAGACCGGATCAATTTATAAAGGTATTAGGCAGGACTGGACCGGACCGGACCGGACCGAATCGGACCAGACTTAATTATTAAGGACATA